GAACTGTAATTTTAAAATGCTCGTTCAGCTTTTGTACCCACGATTTTGCAGAATTTATCCATTTTACCTCGCTGCGATTACGTGACTTCAAGAGCTTCAGACTATTAATCTGAAGCCCTTGAAGTCACTGGGATATCGCATTTATCCAACTGCGAGCTCGCAGCCGTTTATTGCCAAAAGGAGTAACTAAAGCCAGCCGTCTTGTGTGCGCCACTAATTATGCTGGACGCCACTTTCAAGCTTTCAGCGAATTTCAGCATGGTTTCCACTGAATTCTGCGATTATCTGGACAGTTTTTGTGTTCTGTGATCCAACTCTTTTCATTCCAAAGGAGAGAAAGAAATGGTGATCTTTTAGTTAATATTATCAAGGGATAAAGAAAAAATGATGAAATAGAAAAAATAAAGGGAAAAAAGACGAAATAAAAAATTTCTGGCCTTAATATTTCACTCTAAATATAGCAGCCGGGAAAGAAAAACCTGATTGATGCCGAAGGTGTCGTCGGCAAGACGCTCTTCAATTTCGCTTAACCTCACCGCTTGTCCATCATCTCCGACGCCGGGGATTGGTGCATAGTTATTCGCATTGAGTTGCTCTGCAAAATGTTCTTCAACGGGGTATCGTCTGGATCAAAGATATTATACAAGCAATCCATATGCAGTTCATGCTCTGCATTTTCAGGATTGTTCAAGCACGTCTGTGTGAAGTGATGAGGGCAGTTCTTTTCTGCCCATGCTTTCCACAGCTTGCCTCAATCTCCCGAATTTGAACGAAAAATAGACAGGACATGGAAGACGGGAAGTTAGCTGAAGCTGAAAAAATCACCTTCAGTAAGGTTGAGTAGTTTATCTCTGGCAAGATTTCCACTGTAGTGACCGACGACCACCTGTATGCCATGATTCATATATGGATTCTTCTCTGTGTTTGATTCATCCATGTAGTAGCCAAACTGGATAAATTTGAACTTTTTCAGACGACTCTAATTCTCAGGTGAATCTTATTTGATGAAAACATCGTAATCCTCACAGTTCCGCACATGGTTCGGGGCTGGGGAATCAGTTCTTGGCTAATTATTGAAAGTGAACTGGCGCTAGCGTGCTCCTACATACGCCAGACTCAAGTTCTCTTAGCTTTCTTCCTCAACCAATTTTTGAAAGAAGAGCAAAAGTGGGAACATGGAGTATTGCCAAAAAATTTCAAATTTTAATCAGGCACACAGCTGTTTAAAATTTACAGGCCTGCTTCTTTTTT